AAGAAGCCCCTACTTCTTCAAAGGCTGAATGGTTCTGGAAAGCGTGGGTGGATGGGGTCACAGGCTCCCCAGTGGGAAGGGGCAGCAAGTTGGGTCGCAGATACTTGTTGCCAGGACCTTGGGGTGTATGTAAGCCTGTGCTGACCTTCCCCAGCTATGCTGGGGGAAGACAGAGGGGCAGACGTGGGTAGTGGGGAGCCGCCACCCTAAGGGCTTCTCTTGGGGAGAGTCGACTGCACACAGGCCACAGTGGCCAGAGCGCTCCTTTGTTTGAGTAGATAGGCTCATGGTCCGGTGCAGGTTTGTCAAGTGTTTTCAGTGGACAGATTCCCTGCTCGGCCTCCCACACGGATAAGGCTGAAGTCACGTCATTTTGATGCGGCCGGAGAATCCAGATGCTGATTTGCTTACTCACCTCCCTGTCAGGTGGTGCTGGGGTGTGTGGCCTTCAGCAGCTGGGGACCGAGGGAAGCAGTAAAGGCTTAGACTCTGGGAGGGACGCTGTGCTTCGGGACCAGACAGGCTGGCCGGCTCCGCCCCAGGGGTGCGCTCTGGGGAAGTGGGCCCCCTCCGAGAACCTGCCAGGCTGGCTGGGGCCTGGAGACGCAGGGGCTCCGGAGGGGGGCACAGGCAGAAAGCGCGCCCACCCCACACAGTCCACTCTCAGCCACAACCGCATGCCAGCCCCGCCCTGCCTCAGGGATTCGGGTGTGGACACACTGATTCCTGCCCCCACGTAGCTGGTCTTCTCCTGAGGGGAGAAGATGAAAACCAAGTAAAAACCAAACAAACGGATGAGGCAGCGCCTCTTGGAAGGTGAGCTTTCTTCTCCAATATCACCCTCAGCAAAGGCGTGCTGCCTTCGCTCCAATCCTGGCAAAGAGACGCCCCTCAGCTGCCTAATCGCGAGCAGGAGACAGTTTAAGGAGGACACATCAGCCTGAAAAAGCTTCGGTTAATGGCAGAGTGGGCTGCTGATCGGAGTCTATATTTGGTTAAGAAAAAAGGAAAAAAAGAAATTGAAACAGATTTAGTCATAATTGTGTGCGTTGTATGTTATTTTAAACAAGCCTTTAAAGATGATTTTCGACAGTAAGATGCAAGGTGGGTTTTGTGTGGAGATCACTAAAGGGTATGTACCTCCGAGCTGTGATGGTTCCAGAGATGTGTACATGGGTTCCAGGTGCAGAAACACACTTGTGTGGGTGCCGGTACAGCTTGAGTCAAAACCTGAACAGTGTAGATGCTAACGGTAAAGATAGTTGTCCAGAACTTAAACAAAACTCTTTCATTAAATGTGAGTAGAAAAAGTCATTGTTTCCAAATGAATGTACTTTCCACATTATGTAAGTTTTAAAAGTTAAGCTTCTTATTTTGAGATAATTATAGGTTCAAATGCAGTTGTAAGAAATAATACCAAGATTCCTTGTACACTTTGCCCAGTTTCCCCCAAAAGTAACATCTTGCAAAACACAGATGTACTCTATCACAGCCATAAAACAGTTGCTGATATAATCCACGATCTTTTTAAGATTTCTCGTTTCACTTGCATTCACCGTGTGTGTGTACCTGACACGAGTGTATCACGTGTGTGCGTCCATGTATCCACGCCACAGTCGAGATACAGACACATGCCCCTTGACGGCCTTTGCCCGTTTTCTAATTGGACATGTTTTTGTTGTTGAGTTTGGAGGGCTCTTTATATACTCCGGATACCAGTCCTTTGTGGGGTACATGGTTTGCAAATATTTTCTCCCAGTCTATGTCTACAATAACCCTTTGATAAGAATTGTTACACCTACAGATCACTCTGAGAAGACTTGACATCTTTACTGTGCTGAGTTCTCTGATCCATGAAAATGGTATCTCTCTCCATTTTTTTACGTCTTTATTGGTTTCCTTCATTACCGTTGCATAATTTTTAGCATACAAGTCCTGTGTACACTTTGCTGTTTACGCCCAAGTATTTAAATTTCTTTGACATAATTGTAAATGGTATGTGTCTTTAATTTTGGTTTCCACGCGTTCCAAGTCGGTGTATAGAAATGTGATTGATTGTCCTGTGCCGCCTCCGCATAAGAGCCCTCTGGGTGGGGCGGGGAGTCCCACAGCGGAGCTGGAGCATCCCAGAGGCGGAGAGCACAAGGCAGCACCACGTCCATTTATGTCAGCCCCACACAGGGCGCTACACAGGTGCCCTCAGGAGGAGTAATACTAGGGGAGCCATGGAGAGGTGTCCAAGGTGGACCTCGGGGGAGGGAGGAAGCTGGACAAGAGACTTCCTGCGCCCACAGGGGAGCTCTTGTGGAAGAGGGACGAGGTGGTACCTCCCTCCTCCCTCCCTTCCAGCGCACAGAAACCTACATCTCCTAGCTCGGCCCCAGCTGTTTTCTCAGCTGTAAACTGCAGATAATAACCAGGTGGGAGAGGCTGCCTGCCCCCGCCCTGGGCGAAGGCCCGTGCTCTGGCACAGCCCCTTCCCCTGTCGGGGGATCTGCCCTACGGGGCTGAGTCTAATGACTAGTGCGGATTCGAGGCGCTTTGCAAACTGACCCCAGCCTCCTCGGATTCGAGGCGCTTTGCAAACTGACCCCAGCCTCCTCTTCCAGGCCGGCCTTCTGCTGCTCCTTGTGACTTGTTTGGACCTCAGGCATTGGCGGCGGGGGGCTAAGGATCTTTCCACAACACCTTCCAGGAAGTGTGGCCCCCCCTCGGGGCGGTGACTTCCCGGCGCCCTTTCCTGCGCCGGCCGCGTGGGCGCCTCCACCGCTGGGAGCACACAGAGGCCGCGGCCCTGCTTGGCCCCTGCCAGGGGACCTTGTTCTTGTTTCTGCGGCCGCCTTCTGTCCCGGCCGACGGGGGAAGATCCAGCTTCTGAATCGTCCCTCTTCCGCCTGGCGGGGTGGTGGCCCCTGCCCGACCCCGCCTCCGAGGGCGGTCCCAGCCCACGCGCGGCTCCAAAAGCCGGCAGAGCCGGGGCGCGGCGGCGACGGCGAGGCGGGCGGTGGCCTGGCCTGGGGGCGCCGCGACTCCGCCCGGGGCGTGCTGGGGGTCTACCTCCCCTGCGCGCACCGCCGCGCCTTCCTGCTGCTGATCAGGGAGGCGGGGAGGCAGGCCTGGCGAGGCCGCTGCTCCAACGCCACGGTACGGGGCTCGGGGCGCTGGGGCGGGGCTGCGAGCCGAGGCCGGGACCCCGCTGAGCCCCGACTGCCGCGCCCAAGGGCTCGCGCTCCTCGCACCCGCCAGCGTCCCGGTGCTCGCCGGCCGCCGGCTCTCCGGAGAATCGGACAGTGAGAACCCGGCTGCGGCCGGTCTGGGACCGGCCCTCCACCTCTCGGGACCTGCGGGACGGCGGGAGCACGGGGGCGGGGCCGCCGGCCACCTCAGGGTGGGACAGGCGCGGAGAACCCCTTCCCTGGCCGCGGCTGAGCAGGGAGAACGGGGCTTGTGTCTGCCCACGCGGGGGCTGCGTCTGGGTCCTGTGACCATCGCTGGTTTGGAAAGGATCCCTCTCCTGCCACAGGAGGGGGTCACTGTCCACAGACAAGAAGGTCTCCTCCAGTGGTGCCCCCCTCCCTTCTGCAAAGCCAAACCCCTGGCACAGGCCTTGGCATCTGGCTCTGGCTCTTGCCCTCCCCACCCCGTTACCTGTGCCCTGGATGCCCTCCTTGGGTTTCTGACTCAGTTCCAAGGTCCCTCACAGGAGGCCTTCCTTACCTGCCCAACCGTTCTCTTCATAGCTACCCAGCTGGGGTCTGCAGTGACCCGTCACCTGTTCTAGAACTGTCCCCACTGTTGTCTGGGACTGTGTTCCTCATCACAGCCCCTGAGACCAGAGAAGCAGGCAGTGAGAACCGGGTCTGCCAGTTCCAGGGACCCAGCTCTCCCTACCTGCTTCTCCCCCAGACTCACCCCCGAGGCCCCAGTCGCTCTGCCCAGCCCGTCACACGCTGCCTGCCGGGCTCAGCCGGTGGACCTCTCTCCTCCCTTCCAGCCCTGGGCCGGCCCACCTCGTGGGCAGCTATCTGCACGCGCTTCCCAAAGCTGACCCCCGTGGCCGCCTTCCCTGGGGACCAGGCTGCAGTGCTGCCCGCACCGGCTCCCTGGGCTCCCCTCCCCTGTGCTGCTGCGTCTGCTTGAAGGAACATCGCTTGGCCTCCCTCAGGATCCCAGGGACTGGTTGGGCAGCCTTGGGTGGCCACAATCACGTAGTGCAGAGCTACAGGTGGCGGTGGGACCCACAGCTCAGGGAGGTGCCAAGCGGCCGAGGGACAGTCAGAAGCAGAGACCGAGAGGAGGAGAGGTGGCAGGCGAGGCAGGAAGACACCGCCTCGGGGAGGTTCTCGGGTGGCAGCCCCTCTTGGATGTCATTCCAGACTTCTTGGGGCCTTTTCCCTCCTCTCCTTGCTGGCTGGCCCCATGCTGGGACAGGTGGCCTCTGCAGCCTGGGCCTGGGGTCTGCCGGGACTCCAGAAGCCTCTTTTCTCTGCAGGACTCACCACGTCCCTGTGTCTAGACGCTGTGAAGCCAGAACTGGTTGGGGTGCGTTGGTCTGAGAATGCAAAGCAGCGGTCTCCCCCAGCCCCCTGAGCTGCTCTGATGAGTCTGGGTGTGGACAGGCATCGGGCGGCCCTAAGAAGGCCCTTGGACACCGCGGCTGTCCCACTGCACTTCTCTCGTTCACAAGTCATTATGGAACAAACAAGAATCGCACTGGGAATTGTCATGATCTCTGCGTGGTCACGACAGGGAGCAGGGACCATCAGGTGTGCCCTGGCCAAGTCCGCGTGGCCCCTTGCTTACTCCCTTTGCAGCCAGATGAGCAGGGCCCTCGGGTTCTGAGGGGCAGTGTGAAGGGCAGGTGGGGCTGTGCTTGGAATGAGGTCTGGGTGGCCCCGGAGTGGGTCTAGGTGAGAGCCAGCGTGTGGGGCGGCCGCCAGCGTTCTCAAAGGACGTGCGGGGGCACCTAGCAGGCTGGGAACAGGTGGAAGGGAAATGTCGTGCAGTGGGGGCAAACAGTTGTCCCCACGTCGCTGTGTGTGTTTTAGACCTGTCTCTGCCCCTCCGGCCACAAGCTCTGGGGAGGAAGGAGGATGGGGCGAGGCTGGCGAGGGATGATGAGCTTGGCTGCTCAGCAGGGCAGGTGTGGTAACCAGATGCCAGGCTTTCTTGCCGCTGGGTCAGGCCGGGCAGGAAGCAGCTGGGCCTGCGTGGAGCTCTTCCTAAACCTGGGAGATCTGCGCCCGGCTCTGTCCTGAAGAAAGGGAAGGAAGGGCAGCTGTTGCCTAAGCTCGGTGTCGCGTGAGGCTTTGTGGTCAGAGCTCCGTCTGGGTTAGGAAGCCTGGATCTCGGAGCCTCCACTGTGGGGAGCCTGGCCCGGGGCGAGCTCCTGCGTTGCTGGGTCCGCCGAGCTGGAGCGCTCACGGGCTTGTTTTGCGACACCTTCATCTCTGGGCCAAGCCGGGCCTGCCTCCCCCTCCCTCCTGCATAAGCCCTTGTCCACCTGGGTGTCCCCCACAGGCACTGAGTGTCCGCTGAGTGGCCCCCAGTGCGCTCCTCTGCCTGGCCCATCTGGGCAAACTACGCATGCACGTGGCTGGGGCGGGGGCCCTCTCCCGTGCTCCAGCTCTGGCCGCACCCAGTCTAGGTGCCCCCTCCCGCCCCCGCACGTTGGCCACCGCTCTTCTGCTGACAGCCCTTGGGCCTTCTCCTTGGAGGGTCAGTCCTGGGGCGGACTTGCTGTCCTGCAGGCTCCAGCCAGGTTGTGGCCTCTGTCTGCCCCCGGGACCACGCCTGCAGAGACGCTGCTGGTCTGTGGCCCGGGCGTGCTGGCTGAGCCCCCACTCCGTGCCTTCCCTCTGGCGTGACCGGGAGAAAACCTGGCCCTGACAGGACCACTGGGCCTTTTCCTCCCGCAGACCAGCCAGCCACGCGCAGGACAGCAGGCAGTCGTGGTGTCGGTAGTGCCTCCTGGGCTGGTGCCGGCCTGTGTCCGCAGCTGTGGCCCAGCTTCGCACCCGTGACCGACACGGTCAGCCGGCACTTCCTCCTCTCCACCGAGCAGATCAACTGGCTCTCACTGGCCTACCTGGTGGTGTCCATCCCATTCGGCGTGGTGGCCATCTGGGTTCTGGACTCTGCTGGGCTCTGCTGGGTGGTGAGTCGGACCCCACACCGGGGCCCGCTCTGGGATGGGCGGGGTCCCCAAATGTGGGCTCGAGAGCCATCACCTCCTCCCTAGATCCGGGTCCCCAGCCATTGCATGGTGGGTGGAGGTTGGGGTGCTGGAAGGGGGAGTCTGGGCTGGTGGGCAGCTCTTCTGACCCCAGCCCTGCAGACCGTCCTATGTGCGTGGCTGAACTTTGCTGCATGACCACCAGCCGCCAGGACCCATTTGCTTTCCTCACGGGTGGGCAGAGCCTCTGTGCCCTCGCCCAGACCCTGGTCATCTCTCCAGCCAAGCTGGCCGCCTGTGGTTTCCCGAGTACCACAGAGCCACAGCCAACACGATCGGCACCGTGTGTGAGTCCCGGGGGTGAGGCCGACGTCCCCGCTTGCTTAGCGCGTGGCCCAGCACTTCTGCGCTCCCCGCTCTTGGAGGGTGGGGACTCCTCCTGGGGGCTGGGGACCAGCCTGCCGCTCTGAGCTGACATATGTCCCCGTCCATTCAGCAAACCCCCTGGGCATCCTGGTGGCCAACCCGCTGTCTCCCACCCTGGTGAAGAAGGAGGAGGACATCCCCTTGATGGTGAGGGAGCTCAGGAGTGCGCGCACGTGAGTGTGTGTGTGCATGCATGCACATGTACATGTGTTTGTGTGCATGTGTGTGTACCCGTGTGTATGGTGTAGAGTGTGTCGGTGTGCATGAATGGCTACGTGTTTGCGTGTGTGTGTATGTTTATGGGCTGTGTGTGCACATGAGTGCCGTAGTGGCGGGCTCGTGCGTCCACACCTGTCTGTGTGAGTGTGCACTTGCCACCGTCTGCGGTCACACATGGGTTGCACTCCATGCATGTGGGGTTTCCTCATGTGCAAGTGTGCAAGTACTGGGCACCTTCCCAGCATCAGGCACAGCTCCAGGGACTGGGATGTTCGGCGGTTTCCTTGGCGGGGAGACAGCTCCGGAGAGGCGAGAGGCCGGCTGGAGCAGAAGGAAGCGTTTGTGGGGGGCGAGGGAGGGAGATGAGGGGGGCGAGGGAGGGAGATGTGGGGGGCGAGGGAGGGAGATGTGGGGGGCGAGGGAGGGAGATGTGGGGGGCGAGGGAGGGAGATGAGGGACCAGCAGACTCTGAGGTGGACGTGAGGCTGAGGGGTGGGGCCTGCAGCCAGAGGCCAGTGTGTCCACTGAGCAAGGGGAGGGTGGCGGGAAGGGTCAGCCCAGGTGCAAAGCACTGGCATGATGGACACCTCGGGGGCGTCTGAGGGGAGAGTGACTCCATCTGGTCCAGAATGACTCGGAGAGCCAAGGGTGTGCCGAGTGTCCAGGGAGAGAGCCAGGGCTTTGATCGGGTGGGGCAGTGGGGCAGGCTTAGGGCTGGGGGGTTGGAGGTGCGCCGAGGTGAGAGGGGCTTCCAGCTGGGCGAGTGTTGGGGTCATTCACAGAGGTGGGAAGGGGTTCCAGGTGGCCGCTGGATGGAGCTCCCGGAGAGCACTGAGCTGAGGCTGTCGCTGTTGCGGTCATCTTTGGGTGGTATTTTGAAAGCTGGGTTTCCAAATGCAGCAAAGCAGAGCAGCCCCAGCACAGCCCTGGGGCTTGCCGACGTCCATCTGGGGATGACCTGTGGGGGTGGCCAGCAAGGAGCCTGGAGCAGCGGGCGTGAGGCACCCACACGCATGTGCACTCGTGCATACCCTCCTGGCAGCTGGGCATCTACATCATCCCTGCTGGCCCCTGCTTGCGTCTGGGAGAGCAAGCCCCCGCCCCGCCCTCCGCGGGGGCTGTCCACTCCACTGCACAGAAGTTCCTAGCAGGGCTGGAGCTGGTCAGTGCCGCGTGTGTGCTGTGGGATCTCGGGGCGGGGGATCCCAGGAGGGGAAGGGGGCGGGGCTGCCCCGGGGAGCCTCTGGCTGTGCTGCTGGAGCTCCTGGGCTGAGCAGCCCCTCCCCTTTAGCTCGCAGGGAACAAGGCCTACATCATCCTGGCCCCTGGCCACGCGCTTTGGGGGCAGCGTTGGCATCTTCTCCAGCTTCTCGTCCCTCCTGGAGCAGATCCTCTGCGTGAACGGACACTCCAGCATGGGTGCCGGCCCTGCCCTGGGGGCCCCACGGCAGGACAGAGCTTTGGGGGCCTGTCACCCCACAGGCTCTCTTCCGCCGCTGCTTTCCCGCTGGTGGCTGTGGAATGGCCCACGACCTCCCCAGGCGCTGGGTTTCCACACCTGGACGGGGTGATGTGGGTGCTACTGAGATGCTGTGTGAAAATTTGTGTCTGCAGACAGCAGGGTGGTGGCCGTGGGGAGGGGGTGCTGACAGAGCCCAAGTGTGTTCCACTGGGATTTCGTGTGGCGCTTTCCACCATGCCCCAGCCACCCCAGCCCTGGGGGACCCGCTGATATTGGAGCTGCAGAGGAGGGGGCCTTGCTCCGCTCAGAGCACCTCTGGCCGCGCCCTCCACTGTCTGCGTCAGCCCTGGGTGTGGGGTTCAGGCCTCTCGTGTTCCCAGTTTTTCAGGGGTGACCGGCACTGAGGGGTGTCTGCAGTAGGCAGGCCCTTTCTCTAGCAATTGTTGAGTTCCTGGCTGGGGGTAGGGCAGGGAAATGGCACCTCCAGGGGAGGACACCTCTTCCCCCAGCCAATGATGCAGCCAAGCCTTCCGTGCCATCCTGCCTGGGCCTCAGGCTCCGTTCAGTGACCCTGCCGTGGGCTCCCCGGTGACGGCATACATCCTAAGGGTGAGGGCCTCCTCCTGGGGCCCAGATGACAGGGTGCCCCCGCCTCCTCTCCTCCTCCAGGAATTTGTAGGCCTCTGCGGGGCTCTCTTCATTGCGTTTGGGGTCTTGGGGGCGCTGCCTCTTGGCCTGTACGTGGACCAGACCAAGCATTTCACTGGAGCTGTCAGGATCGGCCTCTGCCTGACATCTCTGGTCTGCATGGCCTTTGCCCTGGTGAGAGTCCTCTGAGCCGAGGCCACCTTGCACGAGTCAAAGTGGGGTGCCCCGGGGTGGGGGAGTTGGCAGGTCAGCCGTAACGGACATCCAGACCCACTCTGACCCTGGGCACTGCCCTGCCCCCCGGTGCAGGGCCTGGCTGGGTCTGGGCGTCTAGGGCCGTGGCACGTCTGACTTCTGACTCCTGCCGCATCCGTCTGTGCAGCTCACTGCCCCCAGGTGTCCCAGCTGGCCGCCACCTGCTCGCTGCTTGGGCTCTTTGCTTCTCAGCGGCGCCTGTCGCCGTGCAGCTGGCTGTCGAGCGCTCTTTCCCTGTGGTGAGGGTGGGCCGCGGGCCTGGTCCTCGTGCTGGGGTGAGTGCCCATCCCCCAATGCTTCCCTGGGGACCCAGAGAGCCTCCCCTCACCCCACCCCAGGCCACACAGCAGGTGACCTGAGCGCCTGCCGTGTGCTGGCCTGGGCTGGCCGCAGGGCCCACGGTGACCAGAGCAGCGCCCTGCCCTCGGGATGACTACGGGTGCCGGGGAAGCAAGCAGTGCCCCGGGCAGGGCTGAGGGCCTCGTGGCTGTGCAGGCAGCCCGAGGGTGTGCTCAGCATGGCGCTGCTGGCCTCCCTGACCGTGCGCCGTGTGGAGCTATCCTTCTCCACCTGCCGGGACGGCCAGGACCCGCTGGCCTGAAGGGTGAGGGCCGCAGCCTGTGGGGCTCCGAGGGCGCAGACCAGCAGGTCGGCCCCCACCCAGCCCTGGAAATCTCCCCTCCGTGCGCCTCTTGGCGACTTCCGCTGCCCTTGGTGGGCGGGTGCAGGGCACCCACGGCGGGGGTTGGGGGGGTCGGGTGGGGTCAGAGGGCAACAGGCCGAACCTCAGGCTCAGCCTGGTGGGAGCAGCCCTGAGGCCCTTACGAGAGCTCAACCTCTAACCCCCATGTGACTGGTTTTGAAATGAGATCAAAGAGAGGCAGGGAGGGTCGGCGAGTGAGAATGGCAAAGACGGAGACAGAGTGAGAGACAGGAGTGGGGTCGCCACCAGAGAGATGGTTGCACGCCCTCGTCCCCAGACCCGGTGCGGTGACCTTGGGGCTCATGACTGTGAACCCACCTTTGGGGCCCCTTGGGGCTGGGACAGGATCTGTCCCCGGGGTCACTCTGAGGTCATGGTTAGTGGGGTTCGGGGTCCCCTGCACCCGGGGGGCACTCTGGCACTTGGGGAGCCTCGGCAGAGCTGGGCCACGGCCCCCCGGAGTCCACGTTGCTGGTGGCCGGCCTGTGCGTCCTTTTCAGCTGCCTTGGGGTGCTCTTCCTGTACACCCCATACCGGTGCCTGCAGGCCGAGGCCGACACAGCCCCTCCGTCCAGGAAGACGTGCGCCCGGCAAGCTCGGCAGCCACCCCCGAGGCCCCGCCGCGGCCCCCCCACTGGCCCCAGCAGCCCCTCCTGGAGCCGGTGATCCTGGCTCCGCCTCCCTCCCCCTGGGAGTCCTCCGAGACGTCACGGGGCCCCTGCAGCGGACCAGAGGCCGGGGAGCAGTTGGTGCGATGAGAAGCGGGCCTGGGGCCGTGAAGGGGCGGCCAGGAAAGGCAGGCCCTGGTCCCCTCGGCTACACCAGTCACACCTGAGGCCGGGACAGTGCCAGCATCCGGGGGGCCCGGGGTCCTCGAACATAGGCAGGCTGGCCCAGGGGACTCCCTGTGGATGTAGCAAGGAGAGCTGCCGCTGTGTAGGCAAGAGGCCGCTGACCAGGCGGGGCACTCCAGTGGCCAGGCCAGACCCAGGGTGGCTGGGGCAGGGGCTGCGTATGGGCAGGCCGGCCTGGCCTGGGGGCACGGCTGAGGGGCGCTGAGTGGGCTGGGGATTCTGAGGGCCCCAGCATGGCTGAGTCTGGAGTGGACAGGTGTGGGGAAGGCCTTCCTTGAAGGAGCCTATCCCAGAGCCATGCTCAACCTCTGCTGAGCCCTGAATGAGCAGCCCCCCAGTCAGGCGCGAGCACAGGTGGGGAGAGCAGGTGGGGCCAGGCTGGGCCGGAAGCAGAGGGTGGGCCCCACGCAGACGCTCCCACCCCCTGAAGACCCTCCTACCCCCACGGACACGCCCACCCCCAGGGGGGCACCTTCTCCCCCCGAAAGAGACACTCGCAGGCCGGTTTGTGGGTTCGCGTTTATTGAACTGGCCGCGGCCCATTGGGGGAGGGGTGCCCCTCACTCCGCCTCCCCGTGGGTGAGCACGTAGCTCAGTGCCTTGTAGTCCAGGTTGCCTGCAGCGTCGATGGTGGAGAACTGGAACATCTGGTCAACCTGCGAGTTTGGTGGGGGTCGTGAGGCCCAGGCAGGGGTGGGAGGGAGTGGGAGGGTCCCCGAGGCCGCAGCCAGCAGGTGAATTAATTACAGGAACTGGACTCCAGGCTCTTTCTTGTTTCTGTGCTTGGGGGGAAGGAAGTGGGGGGGAGACCCTGCAGAGCAAGGGTTGGGGCCGGGGCGGGTGTCTCCCTTCCTGGACACCGGGCGTCCCACCCTCCCCAAGGCTGCAGCCTCTGGGGGCTGAGGCACATCCCCCTCCTGAGCCCCCAGAGCCCCGAGAGCCATGCTTGGGCTTCACAGAGGGCCTTGGGGACGGACGTGGGGCGGGGTGAGGGGACAGACCTCCTCAGCGGTCATCTTGTCGGCCTGGGACACGAGCAGCCGCCTGATGCTGAGGACAGGAGGGGCCAAATTAGGCTGCTCTGGAGCAGGCACGGCCCTGACTGGAGGGGTGGCCGCGGGGGAGCCCCGTGACGGGTCCACATGGGGGGACAGGGCTGCTCCAAGGGGGGTGTGCCCCCCCTTCAATCCCACCCGCTCACAGGGCAGGTGCCTCTTGGGAGCCTGGCTCCGGGTGAGTCCTGGGCACTGGGGTGGGGTGGGGGGGTGCCCACAGGGAGCCTTCCCTGACCCCCACGTCCCTGGGGGACAGTGCCTGGCGCACCGAATAGGGCCGTTCACGGTGCCTGGCTGAAGTAGCCCCCAGAGGGGCTAAAGACCCAGTGATGGCACTGAAAGGCAGTGACCACTGGCCCCGTGTGGGTAGGGCTGATCCGGCCCTCGGGTACCCTGAGGGACTCAGGATCCTGGGCAGGCCAATCAGGACCTGAAAGCGGGGTGGGGCGGTTGGCACCCCTCCTACCCTGGGACGCCTGGGCGCCTGCGGCCACACTCACTAGTCCTTGTTGATGCTGCCTTTGCCGTCGGAGTCCAGCATCTTGAATGCGTTGAGGATGGTCTCCTCGGCATCCGTGCCTGCCCACAGGAGGCCTTGAGTCCTGGGCGACTTGGGGTCCACGCCCTTGCCCACTCAGTGCCCTGAATGGCCTTCCCACTCTGAGCACCTGGGAGACCCTCAGCTCCCACCCCAGGGGTACTGTTCTCGGGGTCCCTTGGGTCCCGCTAGGCCCAGAGCTGGGCGAGTTCTCAGTGAGGGACAGAGGCCCCCATCAGTGGGCGAAGAGTTGGGTCTGGGCTGTCAGCTCACCCACCCTGGGGGGCTGACAGGGCCCCACAGATGTGGGTCCCAGAATGCCAGGTCCTGGGGCTTTTCAAGGGATCTGCAAATTTGGGTTTTTATGTGAGACGTGTGGATCTCTAAGTGCCTGGAACCACGTAAGCGCACACGCTGCACTGGCAGACCTGTGGGCTGGCCCGCACTCACCGCTCAGCTTCTCCCCAAACATGTTCAGGAACATGGTGAAGTTGATGGGCCCCGAGGCCTCCCTGAGCATGGCGTCCAGCTCCTCTTCCTTGACGTTGGTTTTGCCTGTTGCAGACGTCAGGGGTGGGGCGGGGGGGGGGGCACAGGGCAGGAGTGTCGCCCGCCCTGGCTGCCTTGTGGTCCGAATAGGTGCCCCACGGGGCCACCCCCCTCCATCATTCTCCAGGCAACCCCAGAACAAGGATGGGGCGACCAGAGAGAGGGAGGTGAGCCAGTGCAGGCACCCTTGGCCCAGGCATGGTGGATGGATACAGGTTCTGAGGGTCAGCAGAGCCCCAAACCCCAGCCCCAGGAGGTGGACTGAGTGGGGGAGAGAAGCCGGAAGGCCTGTGATCTGTTACCTGGGTGTGAGGGGGCACCCCCCAGGTAGAAACCAGCCTGCCCCCCGCCCAGCTCCAAGGGCAGGGCCGCCTCAGGCTGAGGACAGCCGTCCCCAGGTGGGGAGGGAGGCAGAGCCGCGGGCTGGGCCGTGCCGCCTGCGAAGGACGAGCCTCTGGTGGGTCTCTGTGTCCTCTGCCAGCTGCACTCCTGGGCCTCCTGACCATGCCGGGGGTGGGAGTGCCAGCCTCCCCCGCGCAGGGGCAGCAGCGCCTTCCTCGAGCTCTTTACCATCTCCGGCTCTGGGACGCCCATGCTTGGGTTGTACCACCCGCCCTGTGATGCCCTCTGCCTGCCCTGGTCAAACTAGAGGGGAATTTCTCCCCAGGAGAGGCCCCCCTCCCCCTCAGAGCCCACGGGAAGTCAGGTCAGGCTTTAAGGCCCAGGAGCGGAGCGAGGCTCTCTGGGACTGGAGCCGGAGGGCGGGGGAGTCGGGGTGCTGTGCTGGAGTTCTGCCCCCGGGGCACATACCCAGGGAGGCGTAGATGTCCTTCAGGTCCTCCTTGTCAATGAAGCCGTCTCGGTTCTGGTCCATGAGTGTGAACGCCTGGAACCGAGGCCAGGTTCACTGGGCTGCACCCCCTTTCCTGGCTCTGGATCGAGGGTCTTGTCACCTGCATTACACTTCCCAGGGGACCCCTCAGGTATGAGCTTCTGGGTGGAGGGGTTCCCGGTACAAGAGCAGGGCCTCACCTCCTTGAACTCCTGGATCTGGGTCTGCTCAAAGTTGGAGAAGACATTGGATGACGCCCTCTGGGCCCGCAGGGCCCCCCCCTCCTTCTTCTTGGCCTTCCTGCTGGCCTGAGACGAGAGCACCAAGGTTCAGGGTCCCCCAGCCTGCCCGAGGGTCTCCTTGGGGGCAGCCAGGCATTTGGGGAGACTTAATGAAGAGGATGGGTGCACCGTGGCATCTGGGGCTCCAGGGGGCCCCAAGCCCGTGTCCCTGGGCTGGGGCAGCTGCCCGTGCTTGGCATGGTCAGAGGGACCCGTGGGGGGCCCCTGACAGAGCACAGCACCCAGGGTTCACCCTGAACTATGCCCTGCTCAGTCTGCAGTCCAGCCAGGAGGACCAGGGAGCAAATGAACCGTGCTGGCGGCCAGAAGGTGGAAGGGCTTGTTCTGGGGATCCCACTAGGGTGAAGGCCAGGACCCCCACCTTCCAGCCCCAGGCTGTCACCAGGGCTTTCATAGGGCACAGATCTCCCCCAAACCCCAGCACACAAAGACCCTCACACATGTGCACAAACTCAACTTGTGTGCACACGTAATCAGGCAAAACACACTCATGCATGTGACACGTGCACACACACCCATCCACACGGTCCCACACGCACATCAGGTACAGACACACTTATGTGTGTACACACAGCACACTCACCATGCCTGGGTCTGCCTGACGCAATGGTCTGTGCCCTCCCTGCTGAGGTCGTCCGTCTTAAGCTCTTACCCAGTCCCCCAGGACAGCTCAGACTCCGGCTGCCACTCCCTACAAGGACAGGCTCAGGGCTACCCGGGGGACTGGACAACTGCAGAGCGAGCTTTGGCAGCCAGCAGTGAGTCAGACGCCCCCATCCTGCTGGCCCAATAGGCCCCCGGCCTCCAGGCACCTCCCGCCCTGCCCCCTACCCTGGAGTCTGTGCTCTGTGCATCTCTGGGGTGACCTGCACATGGGTCAAGGGCCTGGGGACTGCGGGAACCAGACCTGCACACAGTTACTGTGAATGACTCTGGTGGCCAGTCAGCAAGCGCTTCCCAAGTATGTCTGTCTGCCCTTGCCTCCCCGCCTTGGTGGCAGAGACGTCCCAGGCCCTGACCCCAGCCCTGGGGCCAGCCCTCCTGTCCCCACGGCAGGGAGCTCCTTGCCTGGCCCTCAGAGGGGGATGACATTTCTGGGATGGAGGATGGCCCATGTGGGCTGGGCTGGGCCCAGCACTCAGCCAGATCTTCCTGCTACAGCATGGCCCCAGGGGCAGAGTCTGGGGAGGGGACCTGGCCCAGGTGCCCGTTGGTGGTGCCAGATGTTGGAGTCCACCACAAAGCCAGGGAGAAGATGCCCTGGTCCTTGATAGTGGGGAAGTGCAGAGTTAGTGGCAGGAAGGGGTGGGGGTGGTGGGTGTGCAGGCCAAACAGGAGGAGGAGGCCAGTGGGTGGATGAAGTGGGCAGATGGGATTCCACGGTGGTTTCATACCTGGAGAACAAGTTTTCTGAGCCTCCGGGGCCAGGTCTGGGTGGGGTTGGGATGAGCTGCAATCACTGGGTGGGGGTCGTCAGGGGCACATCTCCGAGCCACACAGCACCTGCTGCGCCTGGAAGGCGAGGGGCACACACCCTCTGTCATGTGGTGCTGCTGAGGTGCTGCCATCCGCGATCCCAGGGCCAGCTCACCATTTGAGGAACCTGGCTGGGGATGCGTGACTCGCCTGGAGGGACCTGGGGGCTCCTGGGGGCTCTGTCTGGAGGACCCCTGGAGGGCTAACGTGTGACCGATGTGGGACACCTGGGCCTGGGCTGCGCGGGGACCCCATCACTCCCAGCCAGGCGGGTCTGGGTGCGACGCCGGGACAGACCTTGGCTGGGCTGTAGGAGTGGGGAACAGCACACCGAGAGAGGGGTAGGCCCGTGGGGTCTGTGCTCAGGAGGCCCAGGCTTGGGGAGGGCCGGAGGAGGCTAGCTGAGCCCCTGGGGAGGTGTCCTGCGCCGGCCTCGGTCTGAGCACAGCTCTAAAGATAGCCACAGAGCCTGGCTCCTGGGAGAATATCGGGACTCAGCACGGACAGCTGCCCTGACAGGTGCAGGGGTGTCAGCAGGCGGCCCCTGCGTCCTGAGCCAGGTTGGATGCCCCCGCCCCGACCCCACCCTGCAGTCCCCAGGAAGGACTCCGGGCCAATGTGGGTCTCCCCGGCTTCAGGGGTCTTCCCTGGGCGGTTTCCGTAAGCGTGTGTTCCTGGGCCTGTGCGTGCCCTCCGCTGGCCGCCACTCCCCCCGGCACCGTGGAAGCTACTGGTATGTGGTCCCCCCACCAGCACTCTGGCCCCACCTTCAGCCCCAGAGAAATTTATTTTTGATTCTGGAAAAAGGAGTTGCTGAGGAATCTGGTTTATTTTAAAATCCAGGGAAGGGAAAACACATTTGCCACCTGAGGTCATCTGCCTGGCTGCTCCAGGGCAAGATGGAGGTGGAGGGGTGGTGCTCAGCATTGACACAGCATGTGGGCGGTGGAGGAGGGTTACTTTGTGCCTTGTGGAGTCAATGTGTGCCTACAGCTTCCTTGGGAAGGAATGAGTGGGGAGGGGGCGGGTCAAGAGGCCCTCCCCCCACCCCAGGCCCCCCAGAGGCCACAGAGGACGGGTGTCAGGCAGGAGTCCTCAGAGGGTTCAGAAAAGAGCCCAGCTGCCCCGTAGGATCCACCTTGCCGTTCCCACTCCCAGCCCAGGAAACAGCACAGGTGATTTACTAGCTTCCCAGTGGAAGGCCCAGAGCCAGGACTCCCCAGCAAATGGAGACGGAGCAGGGTCTGCTCAGGCCCCTGGTGGCTGCCGAGGGGCTTCCCCTTGGTGCAGATTTACTGAGCACATTCTGTGTGCCCTGGAATTTTTGTCCCTGCATTCTATTCTCTTTAGAATCGGAAGTGATCTCCCCTAGCAGTGGAGCAGGGATGCTTGTGAGCCCCGAGCCCCTGGTTCTCCGGGAGTTTATGCCTGGAGCAGCACAGGGCCCAAGGCATGGGTGGTCCTACCACCAGACCCCCAAGCCCCGTTGCCATGGGAACTGTGTGTCAGCACAGCAGGCTCAGTTGGGAGGCTGTCTGGCCACCACTGCCCATCTCTGGGCGGCCTCTTTGCACACCTGGTCTTGGTCAGCTGTGTCTTCGCTGGGGCTGACCACAGATCTGGGGGAGACAGTCTTCTCCTCTGAGGGGGCCAGAGTACCCCACCAGTGCAACCCCTGCCTCCCCAACAGAGGGCAGCAGAAGTGAGCGAGGACCTGTCTGATGTGAACCTTGAAGCTTGGGGCTCCATGATCCTGAGGGCCGGAGTCGGGGAGACCCAGGGAGCAGGTTCTGCTAGGGTGGCCTTCTCAGGAAGACCTGAGCCCCCTTCTGCTGGAGAGGCTCCTAGGGTGAGGAAACTCTAGCTCTGCCGGGGGGCTGGGTCTGGGACCGGGGGTGGGGGTGGCAGGAGGGGGCACCCGAGGCAGTGCGGTCCTGGGAAGCGACTCGGAGGCCACATGGTCGGCCTGGCCTCTCTGTGAGCCCAGAGGGGCCGGCCACGGCCACCCCTCTCTGCTGGGAGCCGGCCTGCACTCAGGTTACATTTTGTACCCGGACCCCGGATTCCCTGCCCAGAGCCTCGAGCCCCTTCCTGGGCTGTCCTCTGGGCTGGCCTGGGGCTGCTGCGGGCCTGGACTAGCCTCGGCGTGGCTGGGGCCGCCCTGCAGCAGTGGGCGGGGCGGGACAGCCCAGGGAAAGAGGATAGCGAGAACTCTATTTCGCACTTTGTAATGTGGACTTATACTTTACAAATATTTGTACCTGTGGTGTGCGGGCCTCGATGTGTGCTCAAACTGGTCTGAAAACGTCAGTGCCTGGAGGGGTCGCACCCGCTCTGGGGAACAAGCACGTGCCGCCTGGGCCACTGCGCATGCGGAGCCAGTCGCGAGCCGCGCGCCTGGTGACGTCACCCCTCCGCGAACGGGTGCGCGCGCCGTTCTCCCTCCGGCCGCCAGGGGGCGGCTCCGGCGCCTTCTCGCTGCTGACGGCGCATGCGCCCACCCGGGTGAGCTTCTGCGTCTCCAATGTTTTTCGGGCCCTTGGAGCGTCCTCCTCGGTCCGCGTTGTGCTTCCGGCGCGAAGGTCACGGGCAAGATGGTTCCGCCAGTGCAGGTCTCTCCGCTCATCAAGGTGAACCAGGTTTCGCGGCCGCGGCCGGGTGCTCGGCTCCGCGTAGGCCCGCGCGTGAGCGACTCCGCGGAGCTTGAGACCTCCGGCCCGGCCTCCGCTCGGCAGGACAACCACCCCTCTCCCGCCCCGCCCCCGCGCCCCGACCCGGAGGCTGCGATTTTCCCCCGCCCCCCCGCATCGGCCCCAGACGCCGCGGGTGCGAGCCCCTCCTTCCCCGCACGCGTCCCCCGCGCCCGGGACCCCCCGCGGGCTGAGAAAACCCCCGGACCCCGGTTCCGCTCCGCCGGTCCTGACCGCCCTTTCCCCGCAGCTCGGCCGTTACTCCGCCTTGTTCCTCGGCGTGGTTTACGGAGCCAAGCGCTACGGTGAGTGACCACGGGCGTATAAAGCCGTCCCAGCCCACGGGGCGCTCACGGGGCTTCTCGACGACGGTGCGGGGTCCCGGGTGCCGGGCAGGAGAGGGGGCAGGGCGGGAGGCGCCAGACCCAGAAACGCGAGCGGGCTGGACCCTTGAGCGCCGCCGCGGCAGGCGTGTAGTTTGGTCGGGCAGCCGCTTGCAGCACAGAGACCTGAGTGAGGGGCGGCAAGACGCCCGGGGTGGCAGCGGGGACCCTGTAGCTGCCCTCCGGGTGGGGCTCTGTGTTGAGGAGTGTCAGGCCTTTACGCATATCTAGGTAAAACAGGTACCTCTGGTGTTCACGGTGCACTTGAAGATGACTTTGCTTGTGCACTGAATTCCTTTCACTCAGTGCGTCGGTGAAAAAGTTCACTGATATCATCCCTCCCTTTCCCTTTCCTTTAACAGATTACCTGAAACCCCGGGCAGAGGAGGAGAGGAGGATAGCAGCTGAGGAGAAGAAGAAGCAGGATGAGCAGAGGCGCATTGAGAGAGAATTGGCAGAAGGTACTCGTGTTGCC